GAAGCAACAGAGAAATACCGTAATCTTGTAACATCTCTCAAAGTTGGCCAGAAGTCAGAGATAAACCAGCAAAATAATGCTCGACAAGTTTGGGATCGCATCTCCCGCAAATGTAAAGATGCGGTACCTCGTAAAAAACATTAATAAAGAATCGTAATTTTGTTTACTGCCCTATATCTAGAGATTATATCCTTTTAACGCAATAGTGCAGAATTTTTTTGAACATTACGGAAAATAAAATTTTGTTTATTATTTCACAAATGTGTCTTTACCATTGTCTGCGGTATCTCTTTCGTCTCTCGAGTGTGCTAGTTTAGCAGTATATTCAAGAATTCCTTTCTGGATGAAAATTGCCGCTAAAAGTATCGCGCGTCGGTCGAGTTTAAAAATGCGAGCGCGCGCGCGCTTCGCAATACGCAATCATTTCCACAAAACGGAAAGACATTCGGTGTATCTTACTTAACCACGTAGCACTTGTTCTTACCAAGCTGTCGGCTATTCATTAAGAAACGTAGGTACGTTCTACGTTAGGGACGTACACGAGATTAATCTTTTTTCTCGTCATTCTATTTTCTCGAGTACAGCGTCCCTTTGCGCTTTGTAGTACAAACTCAAAGTCTTTATGAGAAGCTAAGGTTACTTACAACGAGGGACTATCTTTTGTAAAGAGAAATGTTTAATGATATAACAAATATAACAAAGTATCCCGCTACAATGTTTATTTCGAGAACGGAAAAGAGAAAGAGGAATATTATACTTATATAACGAGATATATGACTATGTTAACATTTCTTTAAATAATTAGGGATGTTGTTACGACCGGTGGACGTTAAGATGTAACATAAAGATTGCATGTATTTCCGTATAATAATAATAATAATATATAAATGAGTTTGATTATAGCGAAAGGGTACAACTGGGTTACTCGAGCAATCTGCAGTAGCACGAACATCCAGTGCGCCGCCAAAAGTAATTAAACTATGCTATTCAACAGACGGTACCTATTACATGGTTTAACATTTCGCAGATTACAGTCGGACACAATATGGTGAATTGTTCCATCCGGTTGGTATACTCTACTTTAATCCGTGCAATTCCGCCGCGTAAATACACAAGGACAAATGGAAATTGCAAAAACGCGTTGCATTTACATCATGAATTCCAGGGGAGGACGCTCGTGACTAATCATTGTTACCGTGAATGACACATCGGTAGAAACAAGCTTTATGGCGACAGGCGACCGGTTCGACACACGGGGCTCCATTTCACTCGATGAATTGGACGGACGCGATAGAAACTTCGTTACTTAGTTAAATTGACGGAAATCAAGTTTTCCTCCTACTTGCGAAATTGCGTCGATACGCATCGTGACGAAGGCGCAGCCGTGTATGCCTGCATCGGTATGTGCAGGCACCACGACTCAACATCAGCGTGATTGCAAGAAGTTGTAGAGTTTTGCAAGAAGTTGCTTAATGCGTAGTATTCGTACAACTTCTGAACGCGAAAAAAAAATTTTAGCATGGAAATTATGTATACAGAAGTTTTATTGGAGGTATGCGAAGTATGCGTGTGTATTGGTTGCGACGAAACATATGTGTATGACATTGTAATTTATACGCCCTGTCAAAAGTGAAGAGATGCGTGAAACGTAATTTTATACCTTTACGAAACGATGAATATGGCGATTTATAACATATTTCCCGCGGTGAAAACATTAGGCAAACATTTATGAGAAATAAATTGCATATTAATTTGAGCAGAAGCTTTAATATTGTTTCGTCGCGCGGGTACGTACACTTTTACGTATATCTCCGTTGCTGCGTCAGTAATTTGCTTCCCATCATTTATTTCCTTTCTCTTACAGGCGACGAAGCTTTATGAATATTCCTGCCGTGCGAAAGTGCCCGATAAAATAGTAATATTGGCTGTAGCGATAGCGGGGCAGACGTCGCGCGCGAATGCCTCTCGTTGCGACAGCCATCGCGTTGTAAAGTATTTGAAATGCAAAAATAAAAAGGGATCTCTACGTATTAAATCACTTAAAGTATCTCTCGCGGCGCACTTACTTTGATTTCCCGAAGTCGGCGTGAAATAATAGATGGCCGACGCCCCAGGCTATAAAAATATTAGCTGAAGACATCTCGCAATTAATAGCGCAGCTTTCTTATCTATATAAACACTATACTATATGCTATTACGAGACAGTTATTTAGAGATGTCATTACTAAAACTGTTTATTTTTTTTGCTTCTCTTCTTTTTCTGATAATATTGTAATAAAATGTAAAATAATCATGTATCGCAATAAAATCTTTCTTACGCGAGAACATAGATGCATAAAATGTTAATCGTTTTCAGTTGCCGCAATAGTAAAAATATTTGATGCAACTGAGTCTCAAATAGAAAATATCGAAAATTATTCACAGTCATTTTTAACGAAAACTGACATAAGAGTAATACTTCCTGCGACTGCATAAACTGACAAACATGTCATTTTGCATGTCTGTTTCGACTGTCCTCCCACAAGTAGTTTGAATGACCTTCCACTGCCATTCCAGAGCGACCTTCTATCGATTTTGGCTCCAATCGGTATGACTATCTAGGCGTTGGTTGAACAACATTATGCATTGCCAAATTTCTATCACATTTTCTTCTTTTGTCTTATGTAAAAAATATATTTGTGAAATGTTTTTATAGCTCCCGTACTTTTCGACAAAAAAACATTTTTGAAAGCGCTATTTTATACTCCTTAATATAAATAAGTTAATCAATTTATAATTGAATTAAAGTATTCATTGTATATTCTTTCGCTTTGCCCTTTGACATATTAATCGTACAGGGTAAGTCATTAAATTTTATATTTTCCATTAAGAGCGCAACTGTCTCTGGAAAGTTAGAAAGTAATTTAACTACTTATACGCGAGGTACTAATTAAACCGCTTTTCCCATTTTCCTTCTTTTTGTGTATATAATTTCATTATAGCAGTTCGTTTGTATTATATTATCAGACGAGTTGAAAATTAAGATGCGGTAAATTTAACGCGGCTGTGAAACAATGCGCCTGGAATCGGCGGCGTCACAATACATATAGCTCACTGTATGTTAACATAGCATCTAAAACATAATTATCCTAATCTCCTGTTCTTTGTGAGCGAGTACATTTAATTCGCATTATTATGATTCCCACGTACCCACATGACAAGAAATGTTAATACGCAAAGAAGATTAGCTTGTTATCTTGATTTTCCGCAGGATCATCCCTGATCTAATTCCCAACATAGACCATAATCAATTATTAATGAACGCTGGTACATAATTCATGTTTCGCTAAACTAACCAACATTCAGGATTTAATTAATTATATGCTCTAATAGATTATATTAAAACTTTTGATGTTATGATAATCTTGGATTATAAGTAATTTGCATCAATAATGTCGCTCCATCTAATTTGAAAATTTTATATTGTTGCGCATATTTTAAAAATTTTGTTTTGCGAATTGTTAAATATATCGGTACATCTAGCAAAATTGTGGAATGTAATTGATTATACTCGTGCGAGTTATTGATGATTACTTTAGATGTTGTTTCTCGTGATGTGCCAATACAAATGGATATCATCTGTCAATGTTAGTGGATAATGTCATTTGTCGGATATTATTTTGACAAATTGTTATGTATCGAGTGAATTCCGTTGAAATGGAATATCCAAATCAAAGAGACTTTCTTTTCCTCTTCTGCTAACATCAAGTTTCGTGGTATCATTTATACAGAGAGATATACGTGAATTTCTCTCAGTTTTCTTAAGACGCAAAAAGTTTCAGCAGTTAATCAATCTATTGATATTTTCTCTAAGTTTTATTATGCCAGCTAGAGATATAATTTGTTTAACAATAATTATAATAATAAAAAACACACATCTCAAGATGTGAATAATTCATCATCTCAAGAAGAGAATAATTCATCGTATCTCACCTTTTTTGTAATTTATTATGCGTTATGTTACATAATAAAGTATCGCATTATGTAGTATTAAAGCTTCTCGTACATAGTATTCAACATAACTTTGCGCATTTGTTAAATGTTGAAACAGCCTTGTGGAAAAGCCATGGTATTATAATTTCCCTATTTCGCATAGGCGAATTTCCCAGGGGTAATAGTTAGGATATGTACATATAGTTAGCCACTATTAATTGCCATTTAACGTGATATTAATCGCAACTTAGTGTGAATCCGTGCGAGAGCTAAGTTAGAGAATAATTCTGCTCCTAACAACGTTATGCAATGAAGGTCACGTGGCTGAAGTAATGTCCCATATGAGTGTCCCAAGCGCGCTATTCTCTTGAGAAGAATTGCCCATATGAGCGTTCCAAATGGTGCCATAATTCTCGTTGTAAAATGCAGGTCGTAATTTACGACGAAAATCTAGGCACCGCATAATAACTATCGGATTATTACTGCACGATTGCCGAATTACACGCACACGTCGTTAAATCGGACTTCGTATAATTTAGTCTAACCACATTGATAGACGACCTGCGTGCATGAAAATATCAATCTTTCAAATGCGTTGAAAAAAAAAATTACGTACAGCCTCCACCGACAATGTTATTCGATAAAAGTTCGGTATTAATACACAGCACTGAATTATGTATGTGCACGAGTGAACTTTTTGCGGCATACGTTAAATGTTTTTAAATTGTAATATGTTGTATGTAGTTTTATGATTGAGTTTATAACATTTAAGAGAACTTAATATTGGCTTTTATCACATCTTTTTAAACAAAATTTTGTATATTATTTTCGCAATTTGTGGAATGTTACTGTTTGTTAACGATCTTTGTTATAAATATTTCAATTATTTCAGATTTTTCATTAATTTTTGTTAATTTAATTGGATAACGCAAAATGACTGTGGAATGAAAAATAAATTTATTAGAATTAATACAACAATTGACTTTGTTCTTCCATAATTATTTTTGAAATCCTAATTTTCATTGTAGAATGAAGTGGTGGATGTGGCGCTAGAAGCTCTATTAAATAAACATGAAGTACCTCTTCCAACGTCGACAACATCGTCTTTGTAAGTATATTCATTAAAAATGTTCTCTATTATATGTGTTATGCAGATACCCTTTCTGCGAAAAAAAAATAAAAGAAATTGAGTGAAACGTTGTCATAAAACAATTTTTAATATTGTAAATAAACTTTTTAATTGTTAGTCATTTAATTTATTAAACTCACAAACTTTTTAGATGTACTAATGAATACAGCTATGCTTTAACGTTTTATTTTTTAAAAAGTATAAATATGATACAATACCTTTTGAGAGACATTATATTTTATACGAGATTATTAAAGAAATCTATACTAACAATAAGTATATTAAGAAAATATGTATGCCATGTAACCATAACGTAATTCAATTTAATATAGTAAAATTTGTAAAATGTATTCATTAATGTAAATTTTTATAAAAATTCTACATTTGTAAAGAATATATAAATCAAATTTCAATTATTAACAACCCACAAAGTAACAGTCTCGCAAGTTCTCACTTAAATTTTATGATTAAATATATATACGATTTTTAATAATAAAATATGTACTGCTTTATTTTTCAGAGAAAAACTTCTCAATAATGTTGGAAAGGAGGAAAACTATAATTTACTGGAAGACATTTATGAGACACTAAATTACGATTGTGGTAAGATAACAATTTTTATAATTAAATAATAATTAAATAAGAAAATTAGATATCTGTTTCAAACTCGTTATACAAACAGAGAAGATTATTTGATCCTATAATGTTGAGTAAATTTTAAAATCAAACTGCATTGATTCGTTTTCACGATTCGGTAAACTGTTATTTACCAGTTACTTCGTAACAGAACGTTACGAAGTTTGAAGAACAAACAACTTGCTGCCGTAAGGCATCGTTCGCACTCATTATTGAAACAACTTGTCCATTCGTGTTTGCTCGCGCTCGCTTGTGCTTAGTTTAGATCTGACTTTAAACGTTGAGACGATTATCATAAATCTATCGCAATCAAATTATGAAAACTTATCACGTCGACACGTTGTTTGCTTGAGAAAAAGCTCGAGACGCTAGTTCCAAAAATATGCAAATTTGTCAGAATCGAAAGGAATTCGAATTGAAAGAAATTAAAAGAATTGGAAGACACACATAATCTCTTACGTGGTCAGGATGTTTTTATGTAATATTTATTAAGTGCGCACAAATAAGTTTTATTATATAATTTATAATAAGATGAGACTGCAGAACGCGATTATTCTTATTCTACGGTTGACAGAATAACTGTTATAGAAGAGAAGGATATGAAATTTTATAAAGTTTCCTTTAGTCCCAAATATTAACCGATTTTTAATCGTTCTATTCAAACAAGTGGAAGCTAATTTGGAATTATTCTCTGTCAGCGCCAAACATTACTTATTATGCGATTTTGTGTTACTTTTTTTGAATTTTTCGCAATTATATCTTAAGTACCATTGTCTGCTTCGGTTTTGCGCAACTGATAACGCGAGAATCCGTTAATACAGACTTGACCGAGTTTTTAATTGAATGAATACAGAAAAACTAGCGCGAAAAATCCGATCGATATTTACCGCGTCTCAAATGAAATCCGGAGTAATCAAGACATTAACAATGCGATCCATTAATTAAGCAATTGGTAAAGTATATTTTTTTCTCGACCTGCGCTTTTATTTCTGTCGAAAGAATTAATGGATTCTCTCCAATAGGAGAGAAACAAATTCGGGAGTTACGAGAATTAACAAAGTTACCTACAAATTTAATGCAAAAAAATTGCAAAAGTAAAATAATAAAATACTAAAAAAAGATGTAGTCATTTTTCATGCACACTTGCAATATGGAAGTTAAAATGAGGACCGTGAACGTTGCTGTCGTTACAAATAAAGCTCGGGGCGAGGCAGTCGTTCTTCTTCACATTCAAATTATTCCAGATTTACTAAATGTGTTCGTCCCCGGACCCTTGGTTACGCGTTCTACTTTCCCTAGCAACTGCATAGCGACGTGCAATCTGGCGTCGTATGATAATATTTTAATTTTGTCCTGCGTTTTAACTCCGTCTGTCACATGTATTTTTGATTTCAGCTTGAAATGCAACCGCGAGGATAATTTGTGTAAAGAAAACTAACGCTAATATTATTTTTGAAAAGTAACGCTGATGTCAATCTCTTTTAAATTAAATGTACACACTTTTATATATGTACAGTGGGGAGGATAAATAAAGAAAAATAATTGTCTAAATTACGCTTGTTGGCACAAATAATGTGTTATGTTATAACAAGCAAAAATTTTACGATATCTTTCTTTTCTATTCGTTTTGAAATAGCTTGATCGCACTTCATAAACTTGTGTGCATCAGAGTTCCGATATATTTGCTATCAGAGATTAGAAACTATTAAGTGCTCTGATATACCTTTATCGATATTTCAATCACACGATTCGATGCGATTTTAACAAGGACGCGCTGTTGCAAGGCAGATAGACTACACAAATAGGCTGTGTGTGTGCAGGTTTCCTGGCGTTAATGAAGGAACCTCCGGATAGGTAATACGTACTCCGAAAGATTAATGAACTAGATGAGCCTGGTCTCGGAAAATCATGCCCGCGATGCTATACCGATCCGCCATCGTTACACGGCGAGTCCTATCCTATGCACGCACAAGCAGCACCTTTATTGATTCAACCTTACACGCAACGACAAAGCGAAATGGTTTTTCCCTACCCGTCAAGATTAGGAGAAATGTGTCAGTTCGCCCCGAATTTGTTTTGTCTCTTCAGAGTCTCGTAAGGATAATCTTATATTATAAATGGACCACCCGTAGGCTGGCGAACTCAGCCGAGACTGCCGAGTTTTCCGAGAACTGGAACGAGAGACGCATGGAGCGCGACTGAATATTTCATCGATTGTATATAGAAAAGCCGTGGCAAGAAGAAACGAAAAATTATTCTGCCTTACAACTCGCCCCTGAATTTCCGTGTTATAAAAGCTCGTTCCATTGAGTACTATTGTTAGTATCGACTTCGAACAATGGCATTATGTACCTCAATGTTATTGTAAATTGTATTACAATGCAATCGTACGGGTCTCACATTTCTATTCCGCGATTAAATTAACTTCATCCCTTTCATCTTTACAAGGTGCATTAAAGATTTTATGATCTTACACGCTATATAATTTATGTTTTTATTTTGCTAATGACGCAGTATGTATACAGATTATAATTGGAAATCTTCTCGTATCATTAATTATTCCTAGATAGTACATCCTCCTGCGCTTCTAATAAATTACAAACACGCTCATTAACGATAATTAATTTCGTGTAATATGCACGTGCAAGTATCAGAAGTGCACGGTGTCTTTGGAAACTTTGGAAACTTTGCAAACTTGTTGAGTTTCTTTGCGATCAATCTATATTGAAACGACGACGAGCGCGTAGCCCACGCGAAAACCGGTATATTTCAGAATGCTAATTGAAATAAGCAAGCCATACTCTTTGGGAAGAAGTAAGGTTGTTAAAGTCTCTTCAGAAAGTTGTTACAGCTGTCACTTGGAACACTCGTCTGTTGCTGGCAATCATAACCAGCGGTATAACAGACTTTTCAAGTGTTTTCGCGAATTTTACGTACATAGAATTTTACTTTAGTATAAATGTATTCAAGATAAAAGAAATATGTACGCCGCGTTATACAAAATATATAAAAATGTATAAGCATATTATAAAAATTTTAATTAAAAGGTTAATACCCTCTTTAAATATTATACGACGCTTCATGTACAGTTGTTTTCTGTTCTTAATGCATTAATGAATTAATATTTCATGTGTACTATGCTAAACATGCTCTTTTCATTCGCAACATATGTAGAAGCGCAGGATTTCAGCTACTCGATCGGAATTATCATTTGAGAAGTTTCGAATTAATAATTTTATTGTATCCGAAAGAGTCAACACTATATGGCCGCGTACATTTTAAATTCAATAATGGGCAGACATAGAGCTCGATTATTCAGGAGACTCAAGGATAATGCTGTTTGACAGCAGCGTTGTTGTCAGATGATTTTCCACGATCCTTCATCTTCGAGCGCATATTAACCCAATTTACGTTCGGCCGTAGTCGAGTACTGTAGTTACAGTGGAGTACGCTTCAGAAACGTCCCATTAATCATCACGGACAATCGATGCGCGCATGTAATGTATTCGGATCTGACTTCCTCATCGGAACTTATGAATGGGGTCCCCAGTCCCCAGTCCCAGTCGCGTCCGTTTGCCGAAGACAACGGTCGTCGTTCGAGTAATGCGCCCTTTGTGACTAATAGTCTGGTACGTGGAACGCATCGCGGACGGAATTTAGCACCCGTAACTTAGAAATACGGTGTACCCTAACGCAATAAACCCGACGCGCGATGTTATGTAACCGCATTAGAGAGAATGCTTGCACTATGTTGCGAGCACGCTGTGAGAGCGATTATATGAAAACGCCTGTTTACCCGCCATAAAACATGTAACGCGCCGTGATGGTTTCCCGTTAAATATATCGCCAACTTATCTCCTGCGTCAAGACGCTCCTTTGACGACGGTAGCAGCATATACGTATTCTCGGTCGAAGTGATCTCCGTATCCAAGCATGTAATCCTGAAAAAAAGGACAAGGGTAGCGCATAGCGCGGTACTTTCAAGTTCAAACAAAATCGCCCTGCGGTCTCTCTTTTTTTTCCTAGCCGTGCACCGTGAAGAAATTGCCATCCTGGTGGAATCTCTTTCCCCCCGCGTTAACAATTACGCCGACCCTTGAATATCGAAGTTCACTGATAAAAGCACAGGGCCGCGCGTATATTTTAATGCAATTAATGCGATTCGGTAAATTGCACATGTGAGCATAAATAAGAATAGCTTTGGAAACGTTTGACATGGCACGTGATTAACAAACGAGATTGCGATAATGAATTAACAATTTTCTCTATTTACCTCGCAATATTTGCGCCACTAGAAAATCATCGAACCATTAAATTCTCCCCGTGCCTGCAGTCTATTAGCGGCGATGAGCGATGCGCGTATAAACCGCGTGCTTATCGCCCGTTGACAAATACCACAAATACGCACGGTCGTTTATCAAGCAAGCGGAAAACATGTATTTTTGTTCATAAGGACTCGTAGCGAGACAAATCGTCGGCATAAGCCACACATTATTTCCCTCCGTCGTGACCCAGAACCCCTTTTCGTCCTTACGCCTCGCGCCTCTGCCAGCGCGATCACTTCGCATTTCGTATACACGACAGGAAGTGGTTGTTGCTGTGGTTACCAGAGCATAGAAGATACTTCCCGTACCAACGTAATGCAATCTCGAGAGAAACTCTAAGACCTCGCTGTCACCAAAGATATACAGGACATTTAGGCCATTTGCAAGATTGACTTACGAAGAGTCTATATGGCCCTACTGTACGCCCGACAGCTCGCGATGTCGAAAATCGTTTACCGTCTGAGAATTTATGATATCACGAAAATATATATAAAAGAAAGCATCCGACGCATTTATACGGGAACAACGCAGACAGACCGTCGGCGTCGCTCCTATTTCGCTCGCGTATCACCGTGACCCAGAAAGTTCTAACCGAAAATTTCTTTGTCCGCGCTTCCGGGTTAATCGCAGCGTAAATATACACATAAATCACAGATAACATTTCCATTTCCAGACAACATATTATCCTATATCGTTGATCGCGAACAAACATTTGCAATATTTCATCGCGTGATTTATCATATATTTATCGGGCTAACGGCACACGCGATTACCGTAAAGCTTTGCGAACATTATTGCAGGAGAACATTATTAGGTCGATGCTTGTTCGCCAAAAGCCCGTCGATTAAAAAAAAAAAGAATGTCAATGAATACCACGTAAACTTCATCGATTCGCTCCATCGATTCTGGGGTCGCATATATGTATAATAATATGACGGAATATCATGGGAGCGGCATGCGATATAATCCGAAATAATTAACCGGGGAGTATCACGTACCATCGCACGACCATACAACCGCTATTATGATTATTGCGTGTTTTCGTACCGACATTTGATGTGAAATAATACGAGATCGTTTAAAGCAGCCCTTGCTCACCGCATCTATTTCCGGATTTGCAAGGGACCCGAACATGCCAGGCTTAACAGAGTTGAAACGCAGCATGTATTATCGATCCCGCGAGATTCACTTGCAATTCTCCAATGCGCCGATTTGCAGTATTCGACATTCATGTTGAGCATTCAATGGATATTTTCCATAAAAGTTTAAAAGGGATAAATCCGTTGTAAAACGGAAGAAAAACTTTTAAGAAGATACCCGTTACTGCGTCCTTAAGATAAACGTAAAGCATTTTTTAACAATTAGAGTACCTGCCATAAATCTATTTTTCGTGTGTGAGGTTTTTGCGTTATATACTTTAAGACGACGTACTGTATATTGTTCACGAAACTCACTTCTCTGAGTATCGCAATAAAGAGAGAAATAAACGGTTCCAAAGTGACTCGACGAAATTCCCTCGAGGCGAATTCATGTTTGCGGAACTTTTGCAGACGTCGACGTGAACGCGTTTTTCGATCATCTCGGACAGGAGCTGATCACATCGGCTTGCGTGGGTTCGTGTCTCTTAGAACGGGCCTTCCGTTGCCTTGGGAACGATCTGACCGCTTTCCTGACCACACTCGACGGCGTAAACGACGTTGTCCAGCATCAGTCGGGATCGGATACCGAGGCGGAGTTTGTGTGTATCGCCACACCGGAAGCGCTGGAGCTACACTTCACCACCGACCACCCTTCTATCGCCTATCTTCTGGTGGGCAGTCTGAAAGGCATAGCCAGGCAGTTCTATAAGGACCAAGCCGATGTGTATATACTGCCGGATCCCTACAACACAAAATTTTTTAGGTAAATCTTTTTACGAGGCTTTTTGCCCCCACTTTATCGCGGCCGACAAGCTCGATTTTTTTTCTCGTATGTCATGTTGTTTTTATTGAGGATTCCGGCCCCAAGTCTCATGCAGAGATTTTTAATTTCCGTTCCTTTTCAGCCCGACTTTGAAAGCGGTAGGCATGAAAAACGCTATCGGAGCGTAAAAAGCGAAGAAAATTTTCTAGGCTATCTCAGCGTTTAGCGAAGAATACAAAAATTGTTATCAAACATCACGCGCGAATGAGTTTTCCGCGGCAACGAATACAGAGGTCCGTGTTACTTTACTTTCAAGCGACACAATTCTGATTCAACGACTACTCGTGAAACGATAAAAAGAGAACAAGAAGGGGAAAGGGAGAGAGAGCAGCAAACGAAAAATATGAAATCAAAACGATACAAGCTCTGAAAATACGATTTGGAGAAATACGGCGGAAATTGGTGACGCAACATCACCTGTGCAACACGATTATAGCCTTTTCAATATTCCCCGAAATTTTTCAATTCAATTGCGATTAGATCCCTGTATAAACGAATGTAAATCGTGACTGCAGAGATAGATAAACGAAATTTCAGGATTGTCGATATGATCAACACGAATACGCTGTGACATAAACTCCGATATAAGCGTCATTTTCCAAATGACTTTTGCGACACGGCAAATAATATTCCTTGTGCAAATAATTTATATGCATTTATTTATATATCATCCATTATTTATGCAAATAATTCATATGTTTATGTAGAGTTTCCATTTCGTTTCAATCACGCGACGCGACGTATGTATTTACACCGGTCACATATTAAAAATGTGGTAGCCCGAAAAAAAAAGAAATAAGGAAATGCCGATTTATTATATCGACTGTTATTACATCGCTCGTACGCTTTTGCATAACGTATTTAATGTTTGTTCACAAAATCGCGTGTAATCGAAATAATGTCACGTGAGTAGAATGTAATTCGTGCAGATAGGCAAAGGCGCAGAGCACGTGAGAGTACAAACCTTTCGTTTGAACAAATATTGATTCTCCTCAGTGGCAAATATTTGATGATAGGTGCGGTACTACCGAGTCTCACGTTAATTCTGAAAGGATGAGATCGACGCGCGAACATGTAAATGACGTGCAAAACATTGTCACCGCACCATCGCTTACATTTCCGAGTTTAATTAAACGTTTCATCGGTTTGGTTACATTTATCCGCGCGACGTGGTATCGCGAAGAACGGCCAGTAATTACCCCTGGTTATATCATCGTAAGAAATGTTGACTCTCCTACCAATCACATCCGCATGTAAAAATGTAGGAGTTAAGTATAAGCTCAATTCCGATATTTATACGCGGCAATACTCCGCAATATCGCTGAAACAGCGTTTCTAACGCGTATATTGCTTCGTGATGTGTATGGAAAAAAGCGCGACCGACGTGCTCCCTTATTGAATATTTCTTCTATGTGGCAGAAAGGACAGCACCTGCAACCCGCTTCCTTGAATATTACAGATACCGGATTACTCCGGAGCGTTATAGCGAAAAGCTGGGCGTAGACGACGATTGCGACGTGGTGTCACCCACTTTCCGTCCACTCTCAACTGAAGCAACGGACCTTCGTATGGGGGTAGCGTGCTTTTGCAAGGCGTTCCCGTGGCACTTCGTCGTCGACCGTCAGCTGGAGCTCGTTCAACTCGGCGTTGGTTTCATGAAAATTTTCGGACACCACTTGAACCGACTCGGCAGGGAGATATCGACATATTTCGCCTTCACACGACCTCACGGCGTCACTCTGACCTTTCACGAGATCTTAAAGCGCGCGAATACACCGTTTATCCTGACCCTCCAGAGACCGCACGACGTCGATAAATATCCCGCGGAGGTATGCTCATAACATGATTGCTAACGATGATTAACTTACTACCCGCGAACTCGGAGTACTGCGTAAAACACAAACATGCAAATAAAAGCAGACTAGACGAGGCAATCACTTGATTTCATGACTCTTGCCGCGCGAAAGTGGATTACTAATATTGTTTGAACACACGAGCGTGGTACGGTAAATTTATAAGAAAAACTCTCTATTTTATTACAGGGCCTGGAAATGAAGGGTCAGATGGTACACTGTCCAGAATCAGACTCGATTTTATTCGTAAGCTCACCGTTCTTGAACGGTCTCGAGGGCTTAACGGGTCGAGGACTCTTCATTTCTGATATCCCTCTCCACGACGCTACAAGGGACGTTATACTCGTTGGCGAGCAAGCCAGGGCACAAGTGAGTAAATTCATGGCTGGTTTTATGTGGCCACGAGTCGAGCATCCGTGTTATTTAACGTAAAAATTTGAGTCATTTATATTTTGTGTCATCAATGGTTGTAAGATAGAATAATATACAGCGGTTGCATTGCATTTAATATGATTAAAACAACGAATTGACTTCATGACTTCATTTTGTATTATCGTATCCTGATATCCGTACAAAATACAATGGCGTAATCTTCTTTCAGGATGGCTTAAGGAGACGAATGGATAAATTGAAGAGTTCTATTGAAGAAGCTAACCTGGCGGTCAATGTGGAAAGAGAAAAGAATATCAGCCTTCTACATCTTATATTTCCGGTGGATATTGCGAAACGTCTGTGGCTGGGTAAATTACAACAATCTATGTTCGATCACAAGATATAGCTAAGCAATACTTTTGTATCTTTTTTAAGATTGTCTCTTTACTTTTCAAGTGAAATCTAATGTAATAACGTATGAAAATGGGAAGAATGAATATAAAGAATTAACTGTAAAAAGTAATTAAATTAAAACTAAATCAATAAACTATAATCGCAAATATAATTATAATTTTATTCGATCGTTTGAATATACTATGGCCTAAATATACTATTATATTTTATGAGAAATTCTCGATTAAACATTTATATCTAAATTTATATCTATCGTTTAGGAGAGACAATCGAAGCAAAAACGTATCCAGATGTCACGATGCTGTTTAGCGACATAGTCGGATTTACATCTATCTGCGCTACAACAACCCCGATGATGGTCATCAACATGCTTCAAAATCTGTACGAGCAATTTGACCTTTACTGTGGTCAGTTGGATGTGTATAAGGTATGTTATAAGTCGGGAATAATAATTGCATAAGAACTATATAGACTGGTATAAGTGGTATATACTTTATATAATTACTAATTTATTAAATTATATTAATCAAGTGAAGCTATCCATTCTTCACTTTCTGGAGTTTATAATTGATGAAAATTAAAAGATAAATCGCGTTTAAATGTTCTTTGACGTATTAGAAAAATAATTATTAATTTATCATACAAAAGTTTTCTAAATGATATATACTTTTATGTTAATCGCTTCGAAATATCAATCGTTATAAATTACAGTTTTCTCTCGCTATTCCCGCTAAGTTGCTAAAATGTATAATGCTGCCATCTGTGAGACATCGCAAGAACTGAGTTTAACATACAATTTCTTATCATTATCGGCATTTTCGTTTTTTAACAATAGCAAATAATACAGTGCCGATGGAGTAAAGAACATGTTGTTTTACGAGCATCAACTTAATTTATCGAGGAATTCTAATTACGTCAAACATGGTCTATAAAAGTAGTTATTATATGCGAACATGAATGGAGGCTGCATTGATTTTACTTTTCTTCTTGTATGAACACAGGTAGAGACAATCGGCGATGCCTACTGCGTTGCATGCGGCCTTCATCGAAATACCAATACACATGCACAACAAATTGCTTGGATGGGCCTAAAGATGATACAAACGTGCTCTCATCACTTGACTCACGAAGGCAAGCCAATTAAGGTACATCGATGATTACGTACGATTACAGATAAGATCGTGTAGTTACATGCAATGCAATTTTCTTTCAGCGCAATATCGATAGTAAAATATTTGCAGTTTTATTGTAATTTTATGCACTTTAGTATATTACAATGTTTCTACTTCCATTACTCTGAGCGAGAAAAACACATTACGAGATAGAGTATAAATATTAACAGTGGCATGGAAATACTGTTTTTAAATGCTATTCATGGCATTGCGTTTCGTGTTTGAATGTAAAATATTTAAAAAAATGTAAAATTTTATAAATATGGTATTTTATTCATCCACATTGGTATTTTATATGTGATACTAGAAATATTACAAATATGATGTTCTCTACAACATTCGCCAAATTTTTTCCAAATATAATTTTTATTTGTATGAATAAATCTTCTTTCTTTTTTGTATTTAAAATGATAATCTCAGTACAATATCTCTCAACTTTCAATTCTCAAATCCTTAACTCTCTGCCTTTCTCGGAAAATGCCATATTTCTCTCAAAGTTTTTCAATTAAAAGCTATTTCTGATTATTACATATCCATTCGAGCAGACAATCCGTTGTTTATTATTCTCGCCTTGAATGCTATTAAAACTTTTTCCATTTAAAGTATTTCTTAACTACGACAACAAGCGGCCGGTTTGAAAATACGAGAAAACGCAAACCATCCACGGTTGCATTAACATTTAAAACAAGTTACGTTTCTTCTTCTTCTTGATATTTTCTTGCGATTGTCACATCTAACTTTTTTATGTTCGTCAATATACGGCGTGCAGAACGGTTATCGAAAAACTCACTAGATTGTCCTGCTTACTGTTCTATCAGATGCGCATCGGCATTCACACCGGAATGGTGTTGGCAGGCGTCGTGGGCAAGAAGATGCCAAGATACTGTCTCTTTGGACATAACGTCACGTTGGCGAATAGATTTGAATCTACGAGCGAGCCACTTCGTGTCAACGTCAGTCCAACTACGTACCTGTACGTTTTTTTTTTACAAGATATATTTTCTTGTATATACGCTTACGCGCGTATCGTTCACGATCCTGCAAATGTGCTTACAGGTGCTTAATACAAAACTCGGGATTCATATTGGAACCGCGGACCAAGGACAATTTACCCAAGGGAATGCCAGCAAGCGAATCGGGCACGTGTTACTTTCTGAATGGGTATCAGCATAGCGACGTCAGCGCAAGCGAACCTCTCGCTGTGCATATTCAAGCTGCAATTACGGAGCTCGGAATCAGTAGCAATATGTAGATACCTTCCGATACGGGGACGTTTACCGTTGATCAGTGTGTTACTTTAACGATATTACCGTCGATAATAGCGATGGCAGACCCGAGACATTATCAGACCGATCGATGTATATGAGCTCTCAAAGCTGGCACTAAAGGTACATTAAAAGCATGGCGCTAATTGTGTACGAACATATTGAAAGAGAATCCTGTGCGGATACTATTTATACGCAGAGTCTTAGATTGTAATCATTATATACCTACTAAATATAAGAAGCAAGTAAAACTCTATCATGGAATCTATGCTCGTGTGTTATTTAAGAAATCCTGTCCCAAATATATATCCATATATCGAATTCTTTAATCTCTATTTTAAATTATTACGAATGTGCATTCATTTTTATACATAACGCAATTATAAAGAAAAATACAGATGTTTACCGACAGATTCTACAAGGCAATTCTGCCTTATGCGCATTCGATTCAAATCAATAACAAACTGCCAATATCTTCTGTATTATAGAAACTATGTTCAAGCTGTTTCTTCACAAAACAGAGATTCCATTTCTCTTTTCGCACAGCTGTTACATTTATTAGGTTTCGCTTCTTGTTTCAATAAGTATTTATTTTCCAATAAGACTTGAATCGAATTAGCACTTTATAGCGATTTATTTTTATACACACATAAAGGCGTACGTTTATTTCCAGAAATCGAAATAAACGACTTGTGTTGAGCGACTTGTTCTCTTTTTTCCTTTTCAAACGATAAACGGTAAATAAAATCAACACTATATTCAATCTTTCTGATGAGAAATAATGCGAAGTTCTTTACAACACAGCCACATTATGCTGTGTTATTAATGACTGATGTGCAATTTTTCGTATAAAGAAAGCAGAGAAATTTACGAGAACCGCTAATATTTCAACTTTTCGCGGAAGCGTTTTCCCCCGAGGAAAACTTCCGGCCGTTGTACGAAGTAGCGGCTTTTAAGATAATAACGCCGGTTTGTGGATCACGGTAATAACTAATTGTGCCGTTCTCTCGCGGCGAGACGGTAGCGGCAGTCCGCTTATTGAAAAGCGCGGCCTCTTTCCGTTTTAACGTAACCGTGCGCGCATCGTTTTGCCGGGAGGTACAAAAGGGGGTGGCGTGTATTGTAAAACTGAAAGCTAGGAGGTGGTTTTAACAAAGCCACTGTCACTAACGACCCCTTCGTTCGCTCACGCACGTACGCTTATATATGTATTTGTGTATGTGTGCAGATCTGTATGCCTGTGTGTACGTGCTTGCGCGCACCCTCACTAACAATCTGCTCGTGTATCCTTAATGTTTCTTATAGGGGCATTTGTGCAGAGGCGAAGAAATTAAACATCATCCCTTTCGGCTATGTCGTCTAATCAAACGCTCGGCGCTGAGCGAAGTAATCGGTAAAAAGTCTTGGAAACAGAACTGTGAAACGGTATGGATATTAAAATATATGAAAAGATAGAAAAGAAAAATCAGAACAGTCAGCCGGAATAATGAAAATAAGCAACTGGAATAATGAAAGTCAAATCTCAATAACAAGCATTACTGATGTGTATGAAACAAAGATTATATATTCGCGCGAAGTTATTAAAGAAACTCGTTAAAAGTAAGTAATTGCGGTAAGTAAGTGATTTTAATTAAAAGATTAAATTTTATCAAGAGAACATTTATCGAAATGAAATAAATGGATAAAAAAGAAAAAAAAACATGAAACGCAAGTGTAAGAAAAATATACTTGGACTGTATTCAAAAGATAGATTATATTAATAAGACGTAATAAGATTTATTCTCATTGCAAACTTAGTTCTTATAAGGTGCTTAATATAATGCGATAAATTTATTTTCATGATCGTAAAGAAGTAGAATATAAAGATCGAATATGTTGAACATAAATAGTAAAATTTTACTAGTATTTTCTCGTGAAAATTATACTGTCTTTATATGTATACTCAATCTTGAGATGCTCACCTAACCCTCGTTGGGGATTTTTATTTTAACGTGAGATTATTTAATTTATCTATCACCATCGCTGAAAATCGCTCAAAGTAATATCGAAACATATGATTTATTACTTTGTATTGAATTGTTAATCCTTAGCTGGCACACTTCACCAGAATCGCATAACGGCACACTGGGGCCGTTTCAGATTTCACCACTAAAATGCTTGTTGCGAGGAAACTATTGATTTTTTTTACTTAAAGAAATTCCAAGATAATCTTCGAATGTTGTTTTAACAAATGTCATAGGTTATTTTGATAAAATGTAATATTAATGTATATTAAATGAAAAAAATTGGAGAACGTAAAAGAAAACGAAAAAAATGACTGTTTTCACTCAAAAATTCATAACTCTTATGTTTTAACTCTTCCATTGTTTAGTACTATTTTTGTACTATAGGAAGGCTTAAATTAGAGCTGAACTAGACTGGGGCGTTTAATACCCCACAGCTAAAGGTTAAATTAAATTAACGTTTCTAATGTAATTGTATTTCCAAGTATACCTTACTGTATAATATATTACTTTTGCTTTATTATCGGCGCTGATTCTTACTTGCCTTTATCAATTTAATTGTTAAATTAAATGTTACATAACGTTATACAACTCACGCTAACCGTGTTTGTCCTCAAAGGTCACTTTTTCCTTGTTACTGCTAATTTTAATGTCAAAAGTCTTTAGTTAATTATCCATTTAAATAATATATTGTTTATTATTTAATAAGTTAAGCCTATGATATTTTTAATTAGTAGATAATTCTAAATAAGTAAAAAAAATTCTTTATATCTATATTAATGTATCTATATAGTATATCTATATTAAAAGTAAAATCAGATAAAATTCACTTGTTTTATTTTCTTAATATTTATTTATATATATCTATCCATTACATTATTAAGACTCTAAGTTTTATTGTTATAATAATGATGCAATGAAAAGACCCGGTAAAATTTTTTTTATATAAAAACATCTAAATATATATATAATCATATAATATTGTATAAAATATTGCAAATGTGAAAAATTTGCTTATATATAATTATATATAATTATATTTTATATGTATTATTACATTTATATATGATTATAAATAATTATATACAGGCAAATAAATGAACAATGCAAAAATTATCCTTTTAATTATTTTCTAGTTTTTTTTCTTATTATTTTTCTTGTACATATGAACAGAGATTATACAAGAGAAAAAAAACATAGTATGGACATATATATATATAGACATATTTTATATAATATTTTATATAATATTTTATAATTATATATATTTAGAAGTTTTTATATAAAAAAATTTTTACCGGCGAATATTCATATCAATTTAAGAAAGATTCTTAGAAAGCATGCCATCTATCGTATATCGTTATATATTAAAGAAATGAAGTCAACGCTCTCGTAATTTTTTGAAGTCTAACCAAACACGACAAATATATCTTGTCAAGAAGAAGACGTATGATATTTATTAAAGCAATTTAATTAAACTACACATTAAACATGATGTTTATGTCGCATTTAGAACAAAACTCGTTAGGAAAATGCTACATTTGCACAAGGTGCACAAGTTGCACAAAACACTGCTTTTTCATATTACAATGTATATTATATTTAATACTCTGTCATAAAAATAGCTGTGCACTCTTCTCAACACAATTTAGGTTACTTTATTAATCTAGTAGGTCAATTTTTATTAAATTTAGGAAATTATATACATGTTTATATACAAAAGAAAATAAGATAAAAAATATATTTATCTAAATTATTTATTAAGTTCTATTAAAAATATTACGATTATAGATAAAATATAACAGCACATTTAAATCGAGTAAATATTTTAATAAGATATGCGCATCGTTAAGCATCCTCACGGTAGGTATTTCGAGTGCCTCGAGTTTAATACGCGTGACATAATCCACATTCTCCGCTTAATTACATTCTCTTGATAGTTCCGAACAGTGTGAAGTAACTGGAACATTAGCTCTACAAGTTTAAGAAACCACCATATTGGGATCTACAGATAGGATTATCAATTTTATAAAACTTTGAAAAATATTTTGAATTAAATCTTCTTATACATCTGTCGTCAGTATGTTTGATGCAAATATGTTATATTTTTTCGACTTTATTAATTTTGTTAATAAAAATAATATGATATATTACAATGTAATGTATTATATTATACAATAGCATTGTCACATATTAAAGATTATCGGATTATGTTACTATTATATCAAAAGATACTATATTTATATCAACTATAGGCATATTTAATTGTCTCTAACATTTGATTTAGTGTGATTATTATTTTTTTTAAATAATGAAACTGCCTCCAATTCAGTACGCCTTCATCTTGAGTGCTGCTTCCACTTTTCACACAGAAGGACAACTATGAGACAAGCTTGAAAAATTGTCGTAGCTCGTTTTGCTACAAAAGTTTCATTACAGAACAGCTCATTATTTACTTTCCCATCTGTCGCACGTCTCCACCACATTACGTTGATCCTTAACGAAGAGCCAGTAATTGGTTAATTAATATTAACTGACGCAAATGGCACAGTTTTGTATCGATTTCATCGGTCAGTAATGAATTCTCTTAAGCGTTATTAATTTAATAATAATTTTAAAAAGAAATGTGTTACTTAGTATCTCACGTCTCTTCTAGCAAATATCTAATTTTTACTACTTTAAATTAATAGATGGTCTTTTAGAGAATAATTAAGTTTGCTCATTTCATTTCCCTTGAATTCTTTCGCTTTCTGCACATATATAATATAGTGGATGATGTAACACGTATGTCTTGTAAAAGCTATTCTGAATTATACAACGTGCGTTTGCCCGCTTACAGCTCTCCTCTGTCATATTTCTGCTATCACAAATCTATTATTAACTTACTCGCATATATGGAATACGTGCATATTCTTTGTGTCGCAGCGTCCAACTATCTCGCTGGTTTGATTAAACTGCAATGACGTATATCGGTTTACTCGACTACAGAACTGATCGAAACAAGTATTAAAGATACTAAGCGCATGCATATATCAATCACGTATTTTCTATTTTAAAAAATCAATTGAAGAAGCAGACCAGATGAAGGAGGTTTTCCTCGCAATACCTATATGATGTTCCTCGATAATGTAATGTTGTGAGCAGTAAGTGTCAAAATTGTACATGTATTTAAATAACAATTGACGATATTGTTAGATTGAAAATATGGTTTATTATAGCAGAGAAATCTTTCAATAAAATTATAAAAAGTTAGAATTTATATAAAAAATACTTGAAAATTCACCAACTTAATAATCTGGATTTCTTATCTATAGATAATCATCAATCATGTTAATATTGAAATGGGAGAACTTCCTGGTAAAATATAAGATATTGTAGCTTTCTTTCTATATGAAATTTTGTGCGGTGGTGAATCCATTTGAAATACGCGTTTCGATCCCTCTTATAAAACTGGGCATAATAAAGCGTACCTTTAATAAATGTTTCACGTAACGCGAAATATCCGATAAAGCAGATTCTATAAATCTCATATTTAGCTCGGTATCAATTCATCTAAATTGTTAAACATACCTAATCCGCAATGTTTAAAATAATGCGATTTATAATAATTAAATTAATGTGCATGGCGGAAATTTAATACATTTATTGATTCCGTCGCTGTACATTATTTCGTTTTGACATGAGTCCATTTATTGTATGATGTATAAATAATATCTAATTAGCTTTCACATAAATGTGTTCACGTGCGCGCACGTGTGTGTGTGTGTGTGTGTGTCATATATGGATATTATTTATTCTTTTAATATTTTTTAAAATAAAATAAAATATAAAAGTTAAGCGATTATAAGAAAAATAACAATTGAATAAAATTTCTTAATTTTTGTGAATAATTAAATGTAAATTTAATTCAATTTGTTATTACCTGCACAAATACGTACGTTCCCTTATGCACTGCGAACGTGCGATTAATTTTATTTTTCTTTAAATTGGAACACACTTTTGGTAGTTTATCATCCCTTGCAACAAATTACTGCATGCTTAAAGCGAGAACGGAGAGAAGGCAAATGAGAGTGGAAAGGATTGAAAGAGGATGATAGAAGGGCAGGAGGATGAACGGTGCATGGGAATGCGAGCGAACGGAGGGCGCGATGAATGAAACATAATTTATTCAATTGGTACTAATAAATGGTATTTATCTCGCCCACTCTCAGTTACGTCAGAATAAAATTTGTACATTGTCGCAGCATTGTTATATTGGAAAGAGAGCATTGTTGCGCGCCGTGATACATTAACAAATAATACGACAACTTAACGTATAAATTACGGAAAAAAAAGAATTTTAAGTTTGTTTTAAAATCGCATATTAAGAATTATAAAACTCACAAAAGAACCCCTTGTAAAAATTCGTCCGAAATGCATTCTCTATAACTCGATCAGAATTTAATGAAAGAAAAAAGTGGAAACATGTAAAATTTCCGTAATTGATGTGCACTCAACATATCAATTACTGAAAATGTGAAAATCAATTGCTAGGGCATTGTTCCACTCGCCTCTCTATTATTCAATTTTCATATCATCGTTAAATTGGTTACATTGTATTTTCTGCAAATTGATGGAGATTTGATTGTTAAACCAATGTGGAATTTATTACTTTGATTAAACAACTCTTACATCAAATCGACTGCTCATTAAAACTTCATTTAGTAAAGAAATTTATATCAGTGGGGAAAAGCGCCAGGCAAGACACGTAAGGCGAAATTTCGAAAAGAGGCCGATAAAGTATTTACACGGTGCTGTGCTGTGTAGCGTCGCTATATTTACCTGCCTACCACTGCAACATCCAGAGATAGTGAGGATATTTTATTTACTACATCTTTTTAATGAGATAGATTCAACGCAATGATAAAATATCTAACTTGTTATTTTACCGTCGGCAATGCAACCGTGCGGCGCATTGTATTATTCGTTTGCCAGGAGACTCGAAGTTTAATTAATCGCTATTATATCAGCAACTGCAATGGAATTACGCTTACACACGAACTTAACTGCATTGTGATATATGTAAAGTCTCATAATAAACGTTTAACATTGTTCAACGTTAAAAACGTGGCTGGCTGTTCGCCGCAGCGCCGTTTTTCCCGGCTCGCTAATTAATAATTACATCCCGATTACATTCTGCGCGACTAAAGATACACATACGTTTATTAACGAATAGTTTTGTTTTAGGCGAGGCGCGAGGCGTTCGTGAGCCTCCGGTTTGCGTAAATATACGTTGCCAAATAAACATAAATTATTACAGACAAATAGCGCAACATGCGTATTAAAATATTGAATCTAAATTTATATGTTACGCTCAATATCGAGTTTTGATCGATGGAATTTACTCGCTCCTTCTTTGACGCGCGTGTTTTTTGTTAGAAGAGCGTAGAGATAATTCCTGTCGTAAACAACGGAATATTGTCAAGAAGATTTCCAGAATTAATCGACTTTGCGTAGGAATCGAGAGAAAGAGAAAGAGAGAGAGAAAGGAAGAGAGAGAGAGAGATCCGTAAATGCGGCTTCATTAAGCGATTCGCGTTCACCGAGATAGATTACCTCGGCATTCCCGGCGGGGAATAATCAATTCGGAATTCAGCGAAAGAGTTCCATTACGCCGGATGTGGATCTTTGGATCACTCTCGATTGTTACGCGCGCTCGTCCCGACACTCGGCGAGTGTCCCGTCCAACTGCTTTTATCCGTTCCTTCGCTCAGAGGCTGGAAGAAGCGTTCTCGGAGATATCAAAAAAATCTACTCACCCTTGGAGCTCGCCGATCGTAGTACGTACGTTACTCCGAATATCGCGATGAGAATCGGAGTCCGGAGATCGGAGCATTCGGAGCGCGCGAGGACCGCGGACCGGTCGCAGGACTTGACAAGTTCACAGGCGCGTCGTCGCTCGCGTTGCCATTAGCCGCTAGGAGCGCGCCGATCGCTCGCGCGCACCTCGGCCGCGTCCCGACGCTCAGTCCGCCGCGGTCAGCAGCGCGCACGGGTTGTGTCGTTGCTGCGTCGCGTCGCGCGTCGCGTCAATCTCTCCTTCCTCCTCCCTCTCTCTCCCTCGCTTCGACGAGAGATCGCACGAGCTAGATAGATCGTTGCCGTCGTTGGATTCGTTCGGCTCCGTGTATCAGTGCTCGAGAGAGAGAGAAAAAGATCGCCCTCGTGGGAACGCATTCCTCGGAGTACGTTGCGTACCGCGGTACTGTATCCTGTTTCGCGCATTACTTCACTCGCACGCGCGCGCGCGCGCGCTCGCGCTCGCGCGCAGTCATATCATAGTAATACACAAGGATCCTCGCGCCGCGCATATCCTCGCGTGTAACCGTCCGGTGCCGACCTTTCCCCGAGGGTCCTCGAGTGTCAACGACGCGCCCGCGGCCTGTGTGTGTGTGGTTTTCCAGTGCGCGGGATGATGTGACGCCGTGCGCCACATTTTCGAACGACGCGGGCCGGGAAACGCGCGCTCGCTCCAAGTAGTTCGGGAGTGCCGGGGAGGGTTTGTTGGTGCCGAGGGCCGTAGAGTATTCTCGTGGTATCGTCGCGGTATGTCGCGCGGCCGTGCGTGCGGCGTCCTTTGTGGTCGGCGCGGGAGATAAGGGGAACAACAAGAGTAACGCGAAACGAGAGGCGGAGGGGTCGACGAAAGGTGGCCGGAGTCAACGGCGTGAAGTTGCCGTCGCGTCGCTTCGATTAAACGGATACGACGACCGCCGACCGGAGCTAGCCGTCGGATGGTTGGAGGGTAAGTGCCGATCTTCTTTTTCTTCCCGCTTATTCTACAAAGAGCTTATCCGCTCATCTTGCAGCCGTTCTTTCACACACGACGACGTGCGTGTGTGTGTGTGTGTGTGTGTGTGCGCGCGCGCGCGCACGCAGGTACGCTCTCCCGCTCGGATGCACGAGAGTGCCGATCGGAGCCGTCAGCCGACCTAGCCACGCTCGCGTCCGTGGCACACGAGGCGGCGCACGCTCTGCGATCGGCGCCGCGCGCTCGTTTCGCTCGGGTAACGCGGTCTCGGCCCGGAATGGAATCTGGAATCCCGTCCGGAGCGGCCTCGTGCGCGATCTCACGGGATCTCCGTTGTCTTCGACTCTTCCGACGGCGCGGCGCGGCGCGATCGAGCCGAGCTCCCGGCTGCTCGCTCGGCCGTGCGCGCGACCACGACGGCGACGGCGACGGCGACGACGGTACCGTCGCGATCGCGCCTCCTCGCTCCGCCGCGCCGACTCGCGTGTCCTCCTCCTGCTCCCCGCGCGCGCGTCTAATATTAAATGCAACCGTCCGGGTTTTCTGACATTTCTTTGTCCTGAAGATTCGAATCGCTGCAGAAAGAATGGAATGCGAGACGGAGCGATGAGAGCGAGACGGTATCCGAGATTACCGAAATGCAATTCCGCTGCTGGAACATTATTGCGACTTGACGATAGAACGCGCGAACGGCATCGACGCGTGTTAATGATGGCGTAATGACGACAAATACTCATTTCAGATGCGTTTAATGTTGGATGAGGATATACGATTGTCCAAATATCAAACGCGGTAATTTGGGGCCGTCTGCGCGCAGAAATAACCCTATTCACTCCAACCCGCCCTTTCGTGTCTTTCGAGTTTTTAACACTCGTAAAAAGGCGGAGTTTCTAATACTTGTAAAAAAATATTTAAATAAATGATTTCCAAATGTTATTTACATTGATTTTTAGTCGAAGGTACGATATTATAATAATTTTAAGGTAAAGATATTATAATAATTTTTGGGGAATTTTTCAAAGCTATTAACATTTTGAAAAACACGTCTGACTTGAAAGTGCATGGTTGGAGGATTAAAGGGGCGGAAAAAACGTTGGAGGTAATAGGGATATTAATTGCATTCGTGAATCTAAATTATGTGGTGCGAATCTTGGACGTTTTGCCCGATTGGGAGAATATCGTGATCGTACGGTACGGCGAAATGTATTATGCGTAGCGCATACCGATATCGCGACTGCATCATTGAATAACAATAGCGCCACGATACTCGGGATATAGTTTCGTATTATTTTACGGAGCACATTGAAAGCATAAAATAAATTGATAGTCTTGGGGGCACTCGAATACAGTAAACCTCATGTAACAGGCATTCGTATAACACGGAAAATTTTAATATTTGTTTGTTTTAAAGTGAAACAAAAATACTTTGCCATTTACATTGCATCTTTAATATTAGGGCTGCGATCCGATGCTGAAAGCATCGCTCTATCTTCGTTTGATATTTGATGCGCAACGAAGACAGAATGATGTTTTATACAATGCGTGTGAGCGTGAATCGGACCGCAGCCTAAGTTTACATTTTTCTTAGCCCGTTTCACACTCTCTTTGATTTACATTTTTCATAATAAACCCTTACTACATCTTTTGTAAATATGTGATTCCACGTGCACACATAATCCATATATGTATAATCCGTGTGACTCGTATAACACGGATTCATATTGTATATCTAACCTAATATAAAATGCGTCCCCGTACGTTATACGGGGGTCTACTGTATACATAAGCATACGATTGGCATTAGCATGTGTCCCTAAACATAATCCAACGTTGGGACTTTTTTGAATATGTTTACAAGCTCTAACCATGAAATCGCTTCGCGATATTATTAGTGACTTGCGATACAATTATGTGATATAATTAGTAACAAACTTTTTCGATACTTTCATACTTTTGTTCACTGAGAAAAAAGCTGTTGCTTTAATTAAAGTGCTATCCCGGGGTGCCAAAAACATAAGTAGTTTATTCAATTGTATTATTATTAGACGATAATTATTATTAGACAATAATTTAATTATTGGTTTAATAATCCAGATATTGGGTCTAATAATAATACAATTGAATAAACTACTTATGTTTTTGGCACCCCGTGTTAGCACTTTAATTGAAGCAACAGCTTTTTTTCTCAGTGTTTGAATATGTAATGCGAGATGCTAAACTCGTATATCTACTTACTCCGCCATGCAATCGTTAATAAATTATATGAGAATTTAATCGTTTTTTACACATATTTCTTTTGTTAGGTGTCTAAGCCTAATTCTGAGAACGGTATGTTATTTCTTCATGTAATCCACTCTCCACGTAATTGGTCTTATTTTGTAACAACAAATTGTAGAATTTTTATATGAACCAAATGTGTTGTCACGAGTTGACGTTTTATTATATGCTTAGAGTAGGTAACAAAGCTCTGCATTTCTGAAATTATTTTTGTTTTCGGCATAAAATGGAAAGCATTAGTGCATATTTAATTTTGGAGGAGGATTTTTAAAATCCATAAAGCCAATAAAAAGATATGCGTATTTTTAAAAAGTCGGTGTTACAGACGGCTTTAAGGTCTCCCTAAAGTTTCGAGGAAGCTCGCCGACATAATTTCATTATTACCTGAAAATTGACAAATGGGATTATTTCGAGTAACGTGAAAATTCGGAACTTTATATATTACAGAAAGTATAATTTAAGAAAAAAAAACACGGGATAAGAAGAAGATTCAGCTGTGTTTTTCGCTTTTATTTCACCTGAAACCTGAAACGAACGTGCAAAAAATAACACGCTTTGAAAAGTTATTAGAACTTACTTAATAAAAAGATGGGATCGGTGAAATAAATTTTCCTTCCGTAAAAAGGGTCTGGCAGAACGCGCTCTCTTTCAATGTTTACTCTACATATATCAATCTTCCGCAAGTCACTGTTGTTCGGAGCAACAGTTTCCAAGTGAGATATCAATTCTTTTGCAGAAACGATCAATCTATTGCAGCCGACATGAAATAAGACATCAAACTTCGGGAGACCGGAGTAAGAATCCGTTTCGATCATCGTTATTTTACTATCTGCTTATATCGCGCGTTTGCTTTTTCGAAGATACACAAATTTTTATTCGAAACAGTGTCATTTTTCCTGGCAAGTTTTTACGTGGCGTTGGAGACTATTTTAGTCTTTTCTTTTTTTTTAAATCAGAGACATACAGTTAAGTTACTTCGATTATAAAATACGTATAATTGGCGAGAAGTTTACCGCGCGTTTTGCAAATAAATGGCGTTATTGCTTCCGGAGATGACAAGAGCTGCTGCGAGCCAGTTTGCCAACATAATTGGTGCGCGTTTGTCGATTCCGAGTGTGCGTTATTATCAAGTTCGTGGAACTTTCTCTCGGGGATGAGATCCGCTTTGCAATATTATAAACGCAGTTATTTGTACGGGCCCTTCCTTCCCTTTATTGAAAGTCGAGGCAACCGAACCGTTCTATTAAAATGACAATTGAGCCGCTGAGTAGCGAGCAAGGGTCGACAATTTCGTAGAGCATTTAATTATGAGATCTCATCTCGCAATTTAGAAGATCCTCGAGTGCGAGGAGGAAAGTCAATTTCTTCGGCAAAGAGCCTTTTGTTTGTCGAAGTACGTCAAAAATAACTGGCGGGAGGAGGTCGTTGAAGCGAGTAGTAGGACACTGATTAAATGTGTACACTAATTTCGAAATGCTGATTAGGCGATAGACTCGTGATAATACTTGAGTGATACGTGACAATGAATTAAATACAAGTAATAACCTTTTTCAATTGAACAGCTTTAAAATGTAAAGAGCAAGCTGAAACTTGGCACTGACAGGAAAAAAATTAATGAGTATTTAATGGAAATTAATAGATGTAACTCAACGAGCAATAGCTGCTGCGCCCTGATGGATTTTGTACCTCAGCACAATGATTTATTCCTCGGGCGACATTGAACGAACGGACCTGAAACGCTCATTTCCGTTTCAATAAACGTTCCAACGGATGTATGTCATTTCGGTGCCTGAAAATTTGAAATTCGCAGTTTGATATTTTTATATGCGCCGATCGTATCCTGAACGGAAATGCATGAGGCTTTTTTATTTATCGATTTCATCGTTGATATAAAGCCGTGCTATATTAACACGACCAATTCGTTTTCGGGTTCGATATTTACATTGCGTTTTTTTTTTCAAGGTTAGTTAAATATACTTCACGGAATTGTTTTCACATTTTTGCGCGCGATCGAAGATACTGACGTTCGCAGACGCAGTGCTAACAAGCGGAACGGAATTGATTGTTCGATGTATTTTTCATGTTTGTAATAATAATACTCATTGTGTCAGGGTGAAAAATATTGTGTGCCGAACATATCTATCCGTAACTGTTTGCCTGCTACAGTACTATCACGAGTATCATGATATTCGTATTTGTGTTTTAACGTACACTATCGTTTATATTATGTTACTTGAAACATAGAGTATGTATCGACCTGTTTTGTTATTACGTACAGAGGTATCGGCACGATACACGCCGGCTATTCGTTTCAGCCATAAATCGGCTACGTCATTGAACTCTCTTGAGCCCCCTCGTCGCATTCCTCTACTCTCCCAACAACCGTAGCGACGCGCGCTAGGAGACGCTCTCTGATAAAAGTTACTCATACCGCGTATGAATCATGCGAGGTATCGAGTTTACCATTGCCCTACCTCGAGAACCATGCGTGTCCTGCAATCGTATATACGTGTCATCGTGACCTCCCAGTGATACCGCACCTATGTCGCCGTTCCGAAAAAATGTGTTAGGTGGAAAATAACTGAGGGACTCAGAATTTAGGTATAACGATGTAACCGTGCCATCGGTCACGGCGATTTTTAGAAGTTTCAGTTTCGGAACGTAATGGAATATCGGACAAAAGGGTAGCAAAAAGGGAAATCATGTTTCGCTAAAGG